AAAATGACGTTTACTCTGTAAGCGCTGACGCGGGAATGCTGAACGATCAACTGTTGCGCGACGATAAGTAGTAGCTCGCAAACATTGCGCATGCGTGCTATATTTGAAATAAGATAAATATAAAGATTTCTCATTGTTAATTTATATTATAATATTTTTGTATATATTTTTTAATTTTTTTCCTATAACGAAATCATAATTAGAATAAAATATCAAAATCATAAATTTAAATATTAAAATTATAAATCACTTTACTTATAAATTCATAATACACGGATGTGTCAAATATAGAGACGTTTATAAAGATCAAGTTTGAACTTGAATGAAATTTCGACGCTTTATTTTTTTTATACCGTTATACGTATTAAACGTACATAAAAAATATCTTTTCTGCTACATTATTCGTTATTTTTTATATAAATATTTAGAACTTATATGTAAGTTTTACGAACAAATTTTCCGGTGCAAAATTATATATATCAACTTAAATTTAAAATCAAATCGAGTAAAAACATACAAATGTTTAACGTCGAACAACGAAAATGTCGATTCGAATAGATTCTTATTTTTTGTAACAAGATAAACGAAAATTATATTATACGAAAAATAATTTTTCGTATAATAAAGTATGATAAGTGAAAAAACACGAAGGTTATGGTAAATTAAAAACATCACATCTCCCTATGACGTTACACAAGGTTATATTTTGTAATTTCCTGTTCAATTTTTTTTTCTTTTTTCAAATCTTCTTTTTACTTTATCTTTCGACGGGTTGTACCCGTAAAATGTGACAAAATTCTCATTCGTCGTATTGGTACATACATTGTTTAATTTCTTTTTACTTTTTCTAAGATCAGAATTAATTTTTTTTTTTTTTTTTTCTTTAATATTATTTCTGAACAGTCTCTCAAATACATTCGTAGAAAAGTATATTTGTTTGCGTACATATACGTACGTGCAAATAGTGATAAAAAAATCATTAATGAATTACGATCAAGCTAACTTTAAAGAATATCGATGTATTTTTAAAGCAACGCGTTTTTTAATATTCTTTCTCTTTTTTTTTTCTTAGTTTAAATAATCGAATCGTCGTTGTTGCTCGCCGCTAACAACAATAATAATTTATTCTCGATGCTTGGTTTCGCATAGATCGCGTTAAGTAAAGATCATAAAACTCTCGCTAAACGAGAAAAAAAAAAGATTAAGGAAAGACTCTGTCGTCCATTATAAAATATAAGAAGCGCCTTATTCGACAGACTGCCAGAAGAGAGCCAGAGATTTTTCACGAATAATCGGGCTTAAAAAATGAAAATTTGATGGACTGCCATCTTCGCGATAAGTTATTATAAAAAGATCCCGGAAAGTCTGAAAACGTCGGAACGACAATTTTTACTTCGTTTCTTTCCTTCTTTCTTTTTTCTTTTCTTCTTCTTTTTTTTTTTTTTAAAGTATTAATGTGTTTCTTATTACGTACTTTTCGAACAGATTAAAATATACAATATCGATGAATTATTATTATTATACTTCTTAAAATCCCGAACGTGCTCAGACTTTTCCGAGATCCTCACAAACATTCAGGTAGAAAATATCGTAACTTCTCACTGGTAAGTCGGAATCGTTTGATCGAATAACCGACCGTAGAGCATTCGTATCAATTAATTATCATCATTCGATCATCACGTCCATTCACACAGATTCACGCATTCTCGATTCATGTTTTTCATTTTCTTTTTCTGTATTTTCTTTTTTTTTCCGTTTTGCTTCCCCTCTCTCGTTGCACGATGCGTACGAAAAAAAGTGCGATGTTATCAGTTTAATCGGAAAAAGAAAAAAAAAGAAACGAGAAACAAAACTATTACAATCCTCTCTGTTACAGATAGGTATTGCGTTTTACGAAAGTTGTGCAGAATAATTATTATTCCATTTCTACTTTATTTTCTATATTCGAATAATATAATACGACGAGAGTAGAAATAGGTTTTAACTATTTTTTTTATTCTGCTTCTAATTATTTATTTAAATATTATACGATTAATTATTGAAATAAATAATACGTGGCGAGAAGGGACGTGTCCATCATTGTATCTATGTTTAGAAAAGGAAGAAAGAAAAAAAAAAAAAGAAGAAAAAGTAAGAAGGAAAATAGTTTTCCAAGTTATCCAAGTAATTAGAATCCAATTCTTATTCTGCACAATATTCGTTTGACTATAAAACATACATACTTATTACATATACATATAGTATATATACATGTACATATATATAATAAGTGAATTTATAAACTAACATTTTTCTCGTGTAATGTTTCAATAATTAATTATTATTTGTAATTAAAACTAACTAATCGATATTTCATGATAATCGCAATGAGGTGTCCACAGCATCCGGTTTTTCTTTATATTTTTTTTCTTTGTCCTTAGGGGTCGTCACGTTCTTACATTTTGCCTGTCTGTGTGTATGTATATATATATAATGTATATATATATATATATATATATATTATTTATATATTTTTATATAATATGTAAATTATATACAGTTTTTCCAGAAGGGTATGATCATTATTGTGTAGGCACTATGGCTTTGGACGTACACTAAGTTGTACGTTTAGAGTACATCCTTAAGAGACTTCCAATTGAGACAATTCCATCCAGTACGACCTCGACTTCTTCAGGAACAATTTTTATAATTGATACATTTTTGTTTCAATGAAATTTCTACTGAAATCAGCCTACAAACTTCATTTTTTTCTTTACTTTTCCACCGCCGTTTCACGCGGCAGAAGTCAAGGTGCACCGGTATAAAATTCCTCTCGAAAAACCCCTTTTTATAAATCAGTTCCAGAATAACAATTCGTATCCTGAAAAAGAATCTTAGACATTTTTCATCGTTACGACTCGAATTGAATACGTGTAGATGCGTTTACATGCAATGATATAGCCTAAGATTTTCTGCTTTTGCAATTTTCTTCTTTTCTTTTTTTTTTTCTTTTTTTCTTTTTTTCTTTTTTTTTTTTTCCTTTCTATCATATGCTCGAGTTCGTCTCCATGTTCGCTACGACATTGATGTCGATGAAGCTAATCCAACACGATGATGATGATCTATTAGCCGGACTGAATAATAATATTTTTCTTCGATAGGACCATATCGTGAGATGATAATGTTTGTGTACGTGTGTTTCTTATGTATGTAATAATTTTTACATGCCATAAAAGAATCATCCGCACCGATAGATAATCATTATATATCTTTTTCCCCTATTTCACCTCGTGCTTCTTTTCTCTCTCATGCATCGAACTGTACAAATTTTCGCTCCCTACTCAGAAAAAGTCGACCGATTACAAAAGTATATAGAATAAAAACTATGCCTTTCAACCGCTCGCATTTTCATCATTTTTTCAACTTTCTCTCTCTCTCTCTTCTCTCTCACACACAAACACACACACACTCTCTCTCTCTTTCTCTCTCTCTTCTTGTCTTCACTTTCATCTTTTTACAAACAATTTCTTCGCCGATAAAGCCTACTATACGCATCGATCTCCTCGACAAAAATTCTTAATAATTACAACGTAATCCTTCCGGACGGCGGTCTCTCGGCTTAAGCACACGATTTAGAAAAGAAGAATCAGTCCAAGTGACAAGAGAAGGCAACCGTCCGGAAAAAAGATTTATCCCCGTTGTTCTTATTATTACTCTTTTCTTTTTTTATCATTTTTCATATCACGTCGATATAAACATTACTCTAGGAGGGACTTCTTTCATTGAAATTACATTTTTATCCGCGTACGCTACTACTTCACGTTTCTAATAATAATTTTTATTATACAATTCCATATAATTATACCATAGAAACGAAAAAAAAAAAAGGAAAAAAAAGAAAAAATAATGTATATATATATATATTGTATATATATATATATATAAAGAAAATATCGTAGTTATTCGTCGACACGAGTCCAGTCTCTCCTCTCTTTGAAACTTCAAATATATTCCTCTTCCATCTATTTCACCCTTCTTACTCTTTGTCTAAGCCTTCGTACGTTTACATCATTTACAATATTATTACACATTGCACAAGAAAACGGTTCAATACCGTCAGAGCAGCTTTACAATTTATCGTCCCAGAAACTTAATCGGTTACGACCGTATCAAGCCGGAAGAAGTACTCACCGTGCGCGTTAACCATTGCCGTGATATGTTTCTCCCTCCCCCCTCCCCCCAAATATTTAACGCTTCTTTTTTCTTTTCTTTTTTTTTTTTTTTCCTGCAGAAAAGAACCGAATTTCCCAAAGAAAATCGTGATACGTTGTCGGGATGCAATTGATCAATTATGAAAATGTTTGTTTTCGAAGAACAAACTCAAATTCGAGACGAAATTCTTTGACAAAATACAAATTCGATTATGACACCGTAATATCAAATATACATTTTCCCAATGTACTTCCATTCATTTTTCTCTTTTTCTCTAGGTAAAGACTAAGAAGCGCGAAATTATATTTTTATTTAAAAAAAAAAAAAGAAATTCATTCAGCGGCGTGTCGATTTTCCCATTGTGCCATTGTGGATTTGATTTCGCTTTTTAAAAGTAATTAAATCAAATGTTTCTATCTACTTCCAATCAAACATTTCTCTGCTCGATCGTTCCCTTAATTGTTAAAAATTGCTAATCGATACGAAATAGAGAAGCGTATATTAATTGGATTAACCGAGTGATCGCTATCCATTCGAATATTAAAGGAGGCGAACTCAGAGTGGTATACTCCAAAAAAAAAAAAAAAAAAAAAAGACAGGTATGCAGGTGTGAATGTAGTGTTGCGTGTCACGACGACGACAATTAGGACGATATCCTTTAGAATTTGAAATCAAAGAGATCCGAAAGCCCTTCCTCTGTGCCTAACGAGAACGAATAGTCGTTTTCAGAAAGAGGCGGTTCCAGGGACAGTAGATGCTCACCGAAATCGAGAATACTTAGATCTGCAACAAAAGAGAGAGAAAATGCTGGGCTTGTCCAGTCGCATTCAACACCTTCACTTTCAAAGTTCATTTATTAATCTTATTCGTTTTCTTTCTTTGCTTTTACGATATAATAATTTTTTGAAAAATATTCGACGTTACGATGTTAATTATATTTGATTATTTAAGTTGGTTATTATTGATTTATTATGAAATCAATTTGAAAAGGTAATAATTAATAAACGAGTATTATTATTTAATTTAAATAACAATTAGTAAAACCCTTAAGCAATGAGAGCTGAATGTTTGTTATATTAATTTATTAATCATTTTGTGAATTATATTATAATAATATTGGAAAATTTATGAATTATTTATTATAATCAGATAATGAAATTATTATTGAATTTTTAATTATTTTTATTTAAAATTAATAAAAATTTCATGAATTATTTATTATACTTATAATTGAGTGATAATTGTATGGATTAATCATGATAATATTTTGGATTATTTATTTTAATTGATTCTCATTACTTTGTAGCAAAGAGTGTAATCAGATTTGCATAAAATTAAGAATTATTTAAATTTAACATTCTTTAAAGTTTCTTATCTTTGCCTAAAAAAAAAAAATTAATTTAGCATAAACATCTTTAAGCCATAGAATAGAAAGATGAAAAGGATTAATCTGTTTCTATAATAAGGTAACAATTTTACACACACACATACAAAAAAAAAAAAAAAAAAAAAGAAAAATACACATATAAAATAGCGTTAAAATATACACAAGCCAATAATTATTTTATCCATGAAACATACCTTCACGCGACAAGAGTTTTGCTGTTTGAAACCGTTACCTAACTAGAACTCTGCCTGTGATGTGATTTTAATTCAGTTAACACACAAGTCACAGCCAGAGCTCCATCAGGGTACGGCTATCCTCCATTGTTGAAAAGGTAGAGAACCAATGAAAAAGATAGCTTAAGTTATTGAACCTTGACGTACAATAAAAAAATCAATTCTTGCTTCTTTTTTCCAAAAAGATTATTTTTTTTGTTTTTTCAGAAATTGTTATGAAATTCATCAATAGCATGCATGACATTTCTTTCAAGTTTCAAAAAAATAATAAAAATTACGAATCTTTCATTTGCTTATACGAACGAGAAAGAAACGTGTTTTCAGTTTAAATACCTTGGAAATAGAGACAAAAATAATAGTTTTGAAAGCATTTATTAAAAAATAAAGTAAAATAAAAGTACAACTTTGTTAACAAGAAGAAAAAAATTAAAAAAAAAAATTAACTACATCAAAAAAAGATATTAAGAAAATGTGAAAGATTAATCAATTATAAAGTAGTAAAGAAATTAATTAAGATTTTGCATTGGATTGTATATTGCATTGGATTTTGCATTAAAGTATCGTTATAAATTAACGTGTTAATATATATTAACAAACTAAAAAAATTTCAAAAATA